TACCAAGGCCAAATTTGGGCTTCCTGAGGTGACTATCGGCGTCATCGCCATCGCTGGCGCTCTTCCTCGTCTGATCAAGTCGGTGGGCCGCCAGCGCGCGACGGAGATGGCACTGATTGGGAGAACGGACTACACTGCCGAGGAAATGGTATCCTGGGGACTCGTGAACAAGGTCGTGCAGCCCGACGACTTGATGGAGACTGCGCTGGGTGCCGCGGAGGCCATTGCGAGAAACTCACCGGACTCGATCATCGTCTCGAGAGAGGGCCTTAAGACTGGTTGGGAGCCGATGGGCCCGATAGAGGCCACAGGGTACATTGACCAGACGATCTATCGCAAGATGGAGGCAGGAGAAAATATGACTGAAGGCGTCAAGAGCTTTGTCGAGAAGAGGAAGCCGGTGTACAAGGATAGCAAGCTTTGAGGACAGATGGAGTAGCTTGGTAATCTGAGGCATTGTATGATTCACTCTTGCCGTCTGTACAACGAGACATCTCCTTTTCTGCTATGCGGTGCGCAGACCGCTGGATATCATGAACCTCCTTCAAAACAAATTGCAAACTCTTTGTCAGTTCTGTGGGAATGAGCCCAACCGATCAATACACTTTTTCTTCCCCCTTCTGTACGGCGGTCTTCACCCTAGTGAGTGAATTCTTCCTTGTTCTCCACACGGAGAACATCTCCAGAGCCGGACTCGGAGTCCTTCTCGTTGAGAGCATGAGACCCTTCGCCAGGCGTGCCCATACTCGACTTCCAATACAATTGCACCTTGCCGCCCGTGAAAAGCCTGTCGATCTGCTCCAAGCTGAGGTTTTGCGTCTCGGGGTAGAAGAAGTAAATGAGAGGAATGAAGAAGGCGTTGAAGATGCAGAAGTAGACATAGGTTCTCCACCCGATGCTCTTGATGCTAACCGGCGTGATCTCGACGACGAGGAAGGTGAAGATCCAGTTCGAAGCGGTCGCGAGAGCGGCGGCGCGGGTGCGGATGGCCAAGGGCGCATATTCGGCGGGCAACAGCCACGGGATGGCGAGTAGACCGACGGCGAAGAAAAAGTTGAAGAGGAATAGCATGACGATGGCGACGATTCCGGCGGGAACGCTGCCGTTGGAGACGGTGCCTGCGAGAATGGCCATGCAGGCGCACTGGCCGCCGGCGGCGAACAACATGAGCTTTCTGCGGCCGAGGCGGTCGATGATCCAGATCGGGATGAGAGAGGAGAAGAAGTAGGCGACGCCGTTGAAACCTGCGAGTAGGAGGGAGAGGTTATGTGACATGCCGACAGACTCCTGGAAGATAACCGGGGCGTACTGGGACAAGTTAGCTTGATGGTTTAGATGGGACCGGGTGCATCATCTGCCCAAACTTGAGTGTGAGCAACGGAGAAAGCTTACGTATGTGATCAAGTTGATACCACTCAGTTGTTGCATGAACTGGCCACCGATTCCCAACAAAGTTCGGTAGAGGAACTTCTGGTCACCGTTCTTGAACATCATCTTGAAGCTACCAGTATTGGCAGCCTCCCGCTCCTCTCTGATGGCAGCTTGAATTTCGGCCAGGTTTCGCTCCAGCTTGGGCTCGTTCTCGGTGATAGATGTGGCGTCCTTCTCCACAGCCCAGAGGATATGCTTGGCCTCATCGTGGCGGTCGTGGGCAATGAGCCATCTGGGCGACTCAGGCAACACCAGGATTCCGAGGAAGGTGACCAATGCGAACAAGATCTGCAGCGCGAGAGGGAAGCGGAACTGAGCATCGTTAGAGACGTAGCTCATGCCGTAGTCCACCCAGTATGCGGACATGACGCCAAAGATGTTGATGGCTAGTTCAATAGCGAGACCCTTGCCACGATTATCCGCCTTCATAAGTTCCGAGTGCCATACAGCTGCCGAAAGTTAGTTTCATCCTAGATCGTGATGAGAGTTACGAGACAGTGACTCACGAATGGTACTGGTGTTCATGCCATTACCAAGTCCAGCAACGATACGTCCCACAATCATCTGCGGGATCCCAAAAGCAGAAGCCTGCAGCGCGGCACCGATACTGAGCACGATGCACCCCAGCATGATGCACTTGCGGCGTCCGAGCCTTTCACCGACGAGCAGGCAGAAGATTGCACCAAAGAAACACCCAATCTCGTAAATGGCCACGACGGTGCCCTGCAGCGAGGAGCTGCCGCCGCCGCCGTTGGTGGTGTCGATTTCGGGGAACGTCCGGGTGAATGCGTAGCCGGTGAGCAGGCCGGACATGACGCCCTGGTCGTAGCCGAAGAGGAGGAAGCCGGAGCCGGCTGTGGCCGTGATGGCCCAGTTGAGAGGCCTTCCGACGAGGATGGTCATGATGAACGGGATGTACGATTGGCGAGACGATGAGGGAAATGTGACTAAAGGGGAGGAAATACCCTCACGCGATTGGGACTGGATCGCGAGATGAGACTGAAAAGAAAAATCAGGAGTTGAGATGACTCGAGGCCGGGGAGGTGGACAAAGAACGGACCCCTTTTGTTTTCACGATGAATGGGGAACGTGGTTCTATATGTACAGATCCAAGCATGCCATGCAAAGCAAAGGAAAATAGTCTTTGGTGTTGAAGGAGAAAAAGGGTACACTGCAGCCGCTAGCTTCAATCTCTTCTTGGCCAGTGTGTTCTTCTTCCCGTCGCTCGAAACAACGTCATTTGATTGCTGCAAAACCTTGTAGAGACCCAAGTGTGTCAAGTCGGCTGCATCTTCTCCCACCTTGAAGATGGGAGAGGAAAGTCTCTCTCTTCCCCCACAAAGAGTACCGCAATGCGGGGACCCCAGCGCGGAGGTTGATTAAGCCAAACCAAAAACAACATGCTGACGGGGTGAAGACGACTAGGAGGGTTGTACTTGGGATACAGTCCCTGGCCTGGTTACAGTTTCTGCGGGCAGTTGGACGCGCATAGTTGGGTGAGAATGGCTGTCTAAATGACTCGCGACGGGGTAGACTTTGAACAGAGTACCGTTGTCCTATTGCTCCAAGCTCGCGAGTTCCCGGGATGCGGGCGTGAAAGAATTTTCCCGCTCTCAGCCTCCCTTTTCCTAACGGTATGAGAGACTAGGAAGTATATGGTTACGGACAATATTGTATGCATTTGCTATATGCAGGCAGAATCGTCCTTCTTGCCCAGCCCCCAGACAGGCTTGCTTTCTTTACGCAATTACCTGGAACTGTGGGAGAAAAGCCAAGGTCATGGCTGCGAATCCGGGGGGCTATTGCCGGAGAGGTTAGAGTCTTGAGAGACTAAACGGACAGGGACAAGGGTGAAAATCGCCGAGTTTGGGCCATGGCGTAAAGATGCGTGGAGCTGCCTTCTGCAGGAAAACCAAGGAAGTTGAAAGCGCTTTTTGTTTTTTCACTGCGACCGGTGGGATTTCACCCATTCATCTTCTTCTGTGCCTCTTCGGTGCTCCGGCTCCCTCCGAGGCGTAGAGCCAACAACGGCCGACTAGACATGGCTGAATAAGACTCCCTTCGCGTGTCTTTTTGAGCCGGCGTCGACACCATCCCATTGATTATTATCCAATTCCAGGAAAGGCTACTCGTAGCGCCCTGTTCAGGAAGAGAGCAAGCAAATTCCCGCTCAGCCGCTAAATCAGACTTGCGCCTCGACCTGCCACACACTCCATGGCCCCAGACCTCATCCATCAACCCTTGACGGACTTTTCTCCGATCTTGTCGCCAATACAAATCTGTCCAAGCAGAGACGAGTTTTACTCTTCCTCGTCTAAGCAAGATCCCTGTGAATTGATGGCTGGATAGGTTCACTTGCCGCGGGATGGTGAACGCCGCAGTGGCAGCACCATCTAATTTGGTGCAATGGCAATCAACGTGGTGGTCTTTCAACTGCCGGGACGCGTGAAACCACATCTGATCAGCCACATCTCAAGGTACTTCATCTCGAATGCGCCTCGGGTTGCCGTCCCGATCGCATCACCTGTCGAGGTACATCTCATCCATCTTATGGGTAGCGTAACTGTTAGGACCGGGACCATGCCAAAACACCCGCGCTTATTTCATCCCTCGAACCATCCCTAGCAGGAGACGGGGAAATGAGGTCATCCTCGTAATTTTTTGTCTCACCCCGGCCGGTCCCTGGTCACTCCTCCGCAAACCCGCATGAACGCCGCACCATAGGGAGGCTTCCGCCTGCCGTCAGTAAGCCGCTACGGAGTACTTGGTCTCCGTAGTATTAGTGGTGTTACTCGCGGGCAGCTTCCTGGGGATGGAAGAGGGTGGGAGGGGGGGATGGGAAAGTGTGGAGATGCTGACCCACGCCTTTGACCTTGGAAAACCGTCTTGTCCCGACATCTGGACCCGCCAATCTCGTCCCATGGGGCAGCTATCCTCGGACCAGATTGGATCCCAACGTCAAATTGTTAACCCGCGGGGATGGTGGGAGGGGAGGAGGGGCGCGGCGCTTGTTCTTTGATGCTAGCCTCGGATTCCAGCAGTTCGGAGACCGCGTGCCTGTCAACCACTGTGACGGGTCCTTGACTGAGTCGCGTGTTTTTGAAGTAATGATGTATCAGTAGTAGGTAAAGGTAGTGCCACGCGCGCGAGGTATTCTTCATAGACTTGATGCTGATCCGATACTAGAGCCGACACTGAATATCGACGCGTTACGTGGAGGTCTCGTTGCGCCAATGCCTTCCCGAGCGGCTAGAGCTGCTCACACGAGATTTAGTGTCAGAGCACTTCATTCCATCTTTAAATCATAAAAAGTAAAAGAAAGAAAAAGAGAAAAACATAACGTAACGTAAGAAAAGTCTTTGTCTCGTTCGTCACCGGGATACTAACCGTCTCCCAAGTCACCCCAAAACTCCTTCAGGTCATCTGCCCTCCATTTGGTGCCCCATCCGCTCTCTGTCTCGATCTTTTCTAGTAATTGTAGTATGGCACGATGCTCCGCAGGATGGCTCATGCAACGTCCCGCAATCCAAAGAGGCTGAACGCTGTTGGTCCACGCCCCGTGGTGGTGATTAGTCATTGAAATTCCGCAAATCTGCCTTGCGTGCCAGAGCGCTGACCGAGGCCTCGGTGATAGTCGTAGCGAGGCCGGTCTGTTTTGTAGCATCAAGAGTGACGCCGTGTGGTATAATTGGTTCCCCGAGATGGCGGCGGGGTTGCTGTATAAGATCTTTGGGAAGGGTTCCGCGTCCGATGAGGGTATCGACATGATGTGTTGCATCTCGGATGGCCGGCGGCTGTGCCAGTCTTCAACATATCTCCAAAGCTTCATCCATCGTACTCGATATCTCATATCATTTCTCGGCCCGTCGAAGAATAGTCCGCCTGGATTGGCCTTGGCTAGTGGAGCAAGCAAGTCGAGAACCTGGGCGCACAGATAGACCGCGTAGTTGGCCCACATATCGTGGCCGGGGTTGGTGAGGAACAAGCCAGCGTCTGTTTCGAGATCGACAGGCGATGCCCAATGGCTGACGGGTATCAAGGTCTTGACCGACGAGATGAGGCCACCGCAGAGGTCCATTCGGACAAAGCACCAAAAGAGCGCCTGTTCGACGCCACCGACAAAGCCGTTCATCCCGACGGCCTCCATCAGACTGGCGCAACCGTCGAGATGTCTGCGCCAGGCTTTTGGGGAGCAGCTGGCCATTTCTAAAACACAGAGCACCACGCATGAGGCTATAACGGCTGTTGTACGCGTCGGGAGTTGGGGTAAGAGTAGGTGTATCGCTTCTTGATAAAGAGCCAGGCTCTGGTCTGTAGGCCGACTCCTGTCTTTCAACTCCATTTGTCGAGCTGAAAGAGCTAGCATAGAGTATCGCAAATGATCGTGGGACCGAGCCATGGTTGGGAGGGAATGCTGAAAATGGCGCTGGTTGTCGAATTTGTCCAACCATGGAGAGATTTCGTCCACCCAGTTCTTCCATAGCGCGCATTCTTCCTCCAGGGGAAGACGAGGAGGCTCATGATCGGAAGAAATCTCGCCGACTGTCTCGACTGCCTCGTTAGACGAAGAAGGCCCGGAGCTGGCGTCGATGGATCTCCGTCTGGAGTTCTGGCCAGAGGCCGGTGAAGCTGGCCTCGTAGGACCATTGGAGCGAACCTCTTGGATGAGATGGTTTCGCAACGTAGAATGGAGCTCGTGGTACGCTGAGCCCGGTAAGAAGATGCCGTCTTCGTAGGAGCCTTCCGGCGTGAACATCTGGTCCATAAAGTCGAACGGCGCATCCATCATAGGGTCGATGGGTAAGGTTGTGACGGGAAGGCCGCCGACGGTGGACGCGGGATGTTCATGTGGTCCTTGGCCTGCGCCTCCTTGGCTTAGGTAAATGAGGTTTGCAACGGCACTATCGGTGATGACTTGCGATGCTGAGGAGGGTGAAGCCTGGAAGTCCATGCGTTCGCCTGTTGGCGGGTGTCCTTTGTCGCTTGACGCATCCTCTCGCCGAGTCGAGGGTGTCAGAAGAGAGCCATAGCCCGGGATGGGAACGTGGTCCGTCGGTGCGGAGCTAGGACCAGATGAAGATAATGTCCTCTTTGCTGTGCTCGAGCCCGCAACAGATGCGGTATTGCCGCCAGCTGTCGAGGTGGTGTAGGATACGGGACTGTCAAAGTTCTTTGCATCATCGTCTTCGTGTTGCGGGCCGTGTATTCCGCTCTCGATGGGCGATATGTCTGGTTCAAGTTCTCGATCCGAATCATAGTCGTGGAATCCGGGTGGTAAGTGGTAGTCGCGGATGACCTCGCTGGTGACGTCGAGTATCTCAAAGTGACGGCGAGGAGGCGGCCGCCGAGCCTTCTTCATCGACGGGTGATCCTGCAATATTGTCTGGGCATTCTCGGACCGGAATGTCACCTTGATACCCCATTCGCAAATCTCCTTCCGCCTCGAGCATCCACCGCAGGCCGGACGGCCCTCGTCGCACTTGCGCTTCTTGCGGCGACAGTTAAGACAGCCTGTCCGGGTCCGAGTTCTCTTCTTCTTTGCCGGCGGAGGCCCATCGGCCGCTGCCGTTGCCGGGTTGGTCGGGAGACGTGGGCCCCTGTCATCGTCGACGACGGGAGACGGCTGGCGTTGCGTCTCGTCGTCGGCGGCCATGATGGAGTCGAGCTCATCTGCACGAACTGTAGGCGTGGTCTAGACCGTCTGGACTCGGGCATCCGAATTCGCAATTCGTAAGCGCAGCGGCAACTCTCCGGTGTGGTGGAACTTGACACAAATCCGCTGCAGAACGGGTGGTGCCGGGGGTATGTCCCCCTCCACAATTGGAAATAGAGAAAAAGGGAAACCGGTTGACAGAGGAAAAAAAAGGTTATGTGAGATGTTCGTGGAGCAAGAAGCGCTTCGACATGCGTTTCCGCGGAGGAGCGGGCGCGGCTGTGAGTAGGTAGGTTGAAATGGTATGTGTATAAGGCAAGGAGAGGCAAAATAATATGGGCCACGTCGGTGAACCCTCAAGCCCCAATGGTCAGGAGTCAGGACTTGGGACAGCCGTTGAAAGTAGTGAAGGCCCGAAGGGTAAGAGAGAAAAGGGTCTCTTGCGGGATTGCGTTAGCTCTCCGGTCCGCAAGACGTGTGATATCAAACAGAGTTTACTATTCACATCTGCCGAGAGCCAGACATCCGTTGTACCCCCGCGCTTGGCAACATGCAGTCAACGAACTTCAGATCGACTTGTTGATGCCCAATGGCAGCAGTCTCTTCACAGCAATGTGATCGCAAGTGACTCTCTGCTCTGCCATTGATTATGATGAAGACTCGTGAGGGCGGCTGCGTATTCGGCTGTGGCTGAGGGAGCTATGGCACCCAGACAATGACAATGCCAAGGGGAGGCAGACAGACGGGGAAAAAAAGAGAGACACACACATGAGGGAGAGATTCTGCGGGGAGAAAGTCTGGGGGAAGCTGTAAGCGGTGTCGGACGGACTCTGCTAAACTGGCGTCTCCTGTCTATCCGTAGCCGTCTGCCGTAGAGCTAAGAAGATTGGCCCGGGGACGGCATGGGGCATCCTTGTTGACTCCGACTTGGGACAAACTCTGCGCAGTCTTGCAGCCCCAACAGCCCCCAACAGCCCTCGTCACGAGTGGCGCTCTTCTCCTTGGGAGCTCCCCGTCACGCCGTCAACCCCGCCATTCATTCTTAGTCTCTCCGTCTAGCTTGCTGTGGGAGCGAAAGATGAGTTCGTCTTTGAGGCTTTGTGTTGTGGTAACTGTTGGAGTAGCACTCCACAAACCCCCCCACACCCTGTCAGCAAGAGGAACCGACAGCAACCCTCAAGCTTTTCTCACCCTCGTTCCAGATCCTCCCGTCGGACTTGAGTAAGATGTTGTTAAGCGTCGTCTCCGGTCTCGGTTTTCTCGGGCTCCCAAGCAAGTGTCCTTTGCAGTTTTCGATAAGGTATGTGAGATTGACATGAAGACGAGATGAGAGTGAGTTGAGGCGCATGTCTGTGAACTCATCCCTTAAGGCCCCATTCTCATTCGGTTCTCACCTGAGAAAGGAGCAATAAGAAAATACAACCTCAGAGTGCGATCTTCACCACGTCAACCACTCGAAATGAGTCCAATCAAACCTCACCCACAGCGAGCCATCTATGCGACAGCAGTTCACTCCAATGACTCGGGATGCAACCAGCTGACAGCCTGCTGCAGCGTCCCCGTCGTTCATACTTCCAAAAACGAATAATTTCGTGACTCTTTCGCACTCAATTATTATCGAGAATCAAGGGTGATCCGTGCTCTAATGCAATTCCATTGCCTGCCGAATTCTCCCCCATTGCCCTGAACGCCGCTAGTGTCCCTATTTCCGTTACCGAACCCGCTCTCTCCAAACTTTTCCGTCAAAAGAAAGAAAACAACAAAACCACGTCATCTAGAAAGGGGCAGTCAAAAGATGATTCATGGGCGACGGCGTCTCAGTGGTGGTGAACAGGGTTAAGGTCGCGGAACTCGCCCCTGAGACTGTCAACCCCGTTGGCTCTAACCTCCTCGACAAGCTTGGCGACCTCGGGCGCGATGACAGCCTCGTCGAAGCCAAAGTACTTGTACGCGTCGGGGCCGGGAAGCGAGTGTCCGAACGTGCTCATCGAGTACCCGGCGTCGGCGTAGCGCTCCCACCCGTTGACGGCGTAGGCCTCGATGACGACGCGCGGCGCCTTGGAGCGGTACTGCAGCACCTCGCGCTTATACTCAATCGGCTGCTGGTCAAAGACGCGCTGGCAGGGGAAGCTGACGATGCGGGCCTTGATGCCATGCTTCTCCGCGAGCAGCTTGGCCGTCTTGACGGCAAAAACCATCTCCGCGCCGACGCCGATGAGCGTGACGTCGGCGTCCTGGGCCTCCTGGAAGACGTAGGCGCCCTTTTGCACGCCGTTGCGTGAGGAGAATTGGGGGTATTGCTCGAGGTTCTGGCGAGAGAGGGAGATGATTGTGGGGGCATCCTTGGCCTCCATGGCTAGGATAAAGGCGCCAGCCGTCTCTTCGCTGTCGCAGGGTCGGATGTAGAGGAGGTTCGGCATCGCGCGGTAGAGGGCGGGCAGAGCGATAGGCTGGTGGGTGGGGCCGTCTTCGCCGGTTCCGATCGAGTCGTGCGTCGCGATGTGAATCTGTTGGAGGCGCTGGAGGGCACCCATGCGCACACCAGGGGCGGCGTACTAATGAGATATGTCAGAACACATCCGGAATTATGATAGATAGATTCCAAGAGGAGCGCTTGAAAGAGAGTGAGAGCTTACGATGTAGAACATGAAGAAACTAGAGGTGACAGGGAGGATGGTGCCCTTGTTGAATGCGGCCAGACCGTTGGAGATGGAAGCCATGGCATGCTCGCGGATACCGTAGTGGATGTAGCGGCCAGAGTAGTCGCCGTTGATGCCGCAAGAAGTTCTCAAGTCGGGCTAAGGAGTGTCAGTGGCATCCGTAAGAGAAGCGCCATTATCGTCTACGTACGTTTTGGAAGTCAACCTTGCCCTTCCAGATCATGTTCACTGAGGGAGACAAGTCCGCAGTGCCAACCATCAAGTTGTTCACACCAGCGGCGATGGGATTGCAGACCAAGCCTGCAGACTTTCTTGAGGGAGTAGGCGTCGTAGGGAAGTCCTCCTTGGCGGGGATGAACTTGCGCCAGTCGTCGACCCATTCTCCAGAGATGCGCTTCTTGAACTCGGCAGCGAGCTCAGGATGCTCACGAGAGTAACCCTCAACGAGCTGGTTCCATTCGGCCTCGATCTTCTCGCCGCGGGACACGGCCTGGCGGAAGTAGTCGTAGACCTGGTCAGACACAACAAAGTGCTTCTCAGGGTCCATGCCAAAGGTCTTTTTGATGTTGGCAACGTCGGCGGCTCCAAACGCGGCACCATGCGCCTTGGCGTCACCAGCAACGGCGCTGCCAACTCCAATGACGGTGTGAATGTTGATAAAGGTAGGCTTGTCCTTGCTGTTGCGAGCCTGGTCCATAGCGCGGACGATGGCCTCGAGGTCCCAGTTGCCGTCCTCAATCTCAATGACGTTCCAGCCACAGGCGCGCATCTTTGTGTTGACGTCCTCGGTATTGCAGAGGTCGACACTGCCGTCGCAGGTGATCTGGTTGTTGTCGTACATGACGACAAGGTTGTTGAGCTTCCAGTGGCCGGCAAGCTGGATCGCCTCCATGGCGACGCCCTCCTGCAGACAGGCGTCTCCGATCATGCACCATGTCATGTTGTTGACGATGGGGAAGTTGGGGCGGTTGTAAGTGGCGGCGAGGTGCTTGGTAGCAACAGCCAGACCAACAGCATTGGCGATGCCTTGGCCCAGGGGGCCGGTCGTCACCTCGATACCCTCATGCTCGATCTCGGGGTGGCCAGGGCAGATGGAGTCGGTGCGGGCAGAGTGGTAGGACTTGAGTTGTTCCATGGTCATGTTCTTGTAGCCGGTCAAGTGCAGAAAGCTGTACTGGAACAGACAGGTGTGGCCGTTTGACAGGACGAAACGGTCTCTGTTGAAGTAGTTTGGATTCTTGGGCGAGTACTTCATGGCGTACTTCCAGAGAGATGTGCCGATGGCTGCCATGCCCATGGCACCGCCCGGGTGGCCACCCTTGAACTGCTCACACAAATCGGCAATGAGACAGCGGAATGTGCGGAGAACGAAGTCGACCTCTTTCTTCTCGGACTCGGTGAGCTGGAATTGGCTGTTGGGGCCATTGAGAGCTTTGGCGGCCACGATGCCCTGAGACACGGGCTCTGAGGGAACTGCACTGGGGGCCATTTTGATGTGTCGGCGGGCTATTAGGGGGTGAGGGTATCTCGGTTTTGTTATGAGGGGTGGTAGTAGCAGTTGGCTGTCGGGTTTCTTGGTCGACTGTGCTCGGTATAGTGAACGTAATGTGAGGGCAATACGTGACGCAATCGAAAGGAGGATGCAAGAAAAAAAGCACTTGGTATCAATGGGGTTCTCTTGCTTGGGATTGAGAGAAAAAGTCAGGCAAGAGATGATGAGATTGCAAAGACAGAGACGGAGGGCAACTCATTGCGGCCATTTCAACAGATATAATCGTGGGCAACAGTGCAACTTGAGACCCCTCTGCGTGGTTGAGATGACCGTTTTGGGATGGAAAGGAGTGGGATAGCCAGCAATGCGAAGCAGTGCAGTATCAGGAAAGTAGCGCTTAGGTTTTCCCTTTTGGGGTGGGATTGGACTCGGCAGAAGAACAGCTCCAGTGTCACTTGACGAAGCTGAGATTTAGTATGAGGAAGCGTGGCTAGACTCGTAGGTTCTGTATGTATTGCGTGATCGTTCTGGTCTCAGGGCTAGCAGAAGCGCAATGAGATACTCGGACGATGGGAAGCTTCCAAAAAAGTTGAGATTGAAACAGAAAATGAGTAATTCTGAACGACACTGATGTGTTGAATTTGCTGCGAGTAAGCCAAGATGAGGTGGGCAAAATGAATAACCGCAGAAAAAAAAGAGGAGGGAAGAATGCCAAAGACTCGGGGGTCGGGAGTGACCCTGGGGATTGATGATTGGATGAAGCGGTTAAAGTGCGGGTCTTTAGTGCATCCCCGCCATGGCCCGTGCTCGACGATTTCGGAAATTTGAAGCGCCGCTGTAGTACGTACCAGACACGTGCCACACTACGAAGTACAAGGGTGTCTCTTACATAATCAGCCCTGACCACTCACCGTCTCCTCCTTCTTCCCCGCCAAAATGCCCGCGGTTTTCCCCGTCCATATTCCAGAGTTTACGGAGTACGGAGTACAAGTCGTCCAGTTCCTCTATGTTGACGATCCTCGACAGTCTCAAAAAGACTCTGCTAGTTTGAATGACCCAGTCTTACTGAATAACCATTTTTCAATATCCCCACCAAAGGAAGAATGCAAACAGTTCCAGTTCTCACAAACTAAGCTATGAGCTTCCACAATGCCCACTCTGCCGGCTCCCATTGCCGTCCCTTGAGATCATCATAATTGTCCATCGCTTCGGCCTTCTCTCAACTTTGAACCGTTCCATCTGCGGCCCAAACCGCCTCCTTATCGAAACGTTGGGCTCCGATGGGCCCGGTGCATCTTGCAAGTCTCTTTGGAACTATTCTTGACATTTCAGGCTTCACATACAACCATAGCCGCCGAAACCTTATCCACGAACCCATCACGATTCACCTCTGCCGCAGGCCCCTCAGTCCAGTCGAGACCCTGAAATCCTGAGCAAATGCCAAACTTTCCCTTCGTGCCATGCTTGTTTTGTTCCCTTTCGTCTCTCTGCCCCTCCACTCGGACGCTTGCCGACCTCTTCTCCTCGGCCCCCCATGTTCACCCTTCATCCCACCATCTGCCAATCTGGCGTCCGCGTCCCGCCAAGAAGCGCTTCCACTTGCCCTCCTACCACCCTCCCCATTACGCCCCTCCATCTTGTCTCTCCGCGCGGACTCAATGCCGAACGCTGTCTCAAGATTTCTTAACTTCTCAAGACACAGCATCCCGTCTGGGGCCCCGGCGCAACGGGACCTTCCATGGTCGAGGCTCAGCCGGCATCTCGCAGCTTCACACGCTTCACACAACTCCAAGCGACGCCCGTTCGTGTCCTCTCCCGTTCGCCCCGTCCTCCCCGTCCTTGCCGACTGTCCAGTATCCCTCAAATAACCAACCCGTGACCACAATGTTTCCAGTGTTTCGAGTCTCCTACCACCAGTTCTCTCTACTCGTACTTAGTACACCTTGACTTCATTCAACTTTCAACCTCACACGTGAGCCGTAGTCTGCCTTCATAGCAACACAGCTATTGTAATACTCATTCTTCGTCCGCCTTTTCATCAAAGATACCCAACACTTCATTCATAATGCCTCCCGTAGCAGTAAGCGACATGGACCTCCCCGCGGAGCCCGTCCATCCCCTCCCCGAAGCAAAGGACCCTCTCGCCTCCTCCGTCGCAACACCTCAACTCTTCTCCCTCGCCAACAAGACCATCGTCATCACCGGCGGCGGCCGCGGCCTGGGCATCACCTTTGCTCTCGCCATCCTCGAAGCCGGAGGCCACGCTGCCTGCCTCGATATCCTCCCCGAGCCCTCGCCCATTGAGTGGGCCCACCTCACCAAGCTCGCCACCTCCAAGAACCTCTCCATCTCATACCACAAGTGCGACATCACAGACGAGGAGGCCACGGAAAAGGTCTTTGAGGAAATTGCAGATGCCGCCGACAGCCGCGGTGCTCCATTTTGGGGCGCCGTCGCCTGCGCTGGCATCCAGCAGAAGATTCCTGCTCTCGAGTACCCCGTTGCCGACTTTGAGCGGATACAAAAGGTCAACGTCGTCGGTGTCTTCGTGACGGCTAAGCACTCCGCTCGCGTGTTGGTGAAGCGCAAGAGCAAGGGTAGCATCTTGCTCATTTCAAGCATGTCTGGAGAGATTGCCAACAGAGTACGTCCTGATCTACACTCCGATCTTGAAGGTTTGATTATCATAAGAACTTGGGGACTAACATCTCTCCCCAGGGATTGACATGCAGTGCCTACAATACCAGTAAGGCTGCCGTTCAGCAGATGTGCAGGTCTGTCGCTCAGGAGTGGGGTCAATATGGTATCCGCGTGAACACTCTATCGCCCGGTGTAAGTCTCACTCATCCACCATCACCGTGTTTCATTACTGACTCATCAACAGTACATCCGGACCGCAATGACCGATCAGCTTCTGCAGGCCGAGCCTGAGGTTGAGACAACTTGGATGAGAGGAGCCCTTCTCCAGCGCCTGGGTACACCCGAGGACTTCAAGGCTCCAGCCGTCTTCCTCCTGTCCGAAGGCAGCTCTTTCATGACCGGTGCAGACCTCCGTGTCGACGGTGGACACTGCGCCTCTGCTTAGTCTTTCCCTCATCATGTGAGAATTATCGATAAATATGTCCTGGATAAAACGGCGTTGGTCTCATGATATCAAACGGGGTTCCGATATTGGAAACCTCTCATCCCTCATTGCAGCTCGCGATGGACTTTCACGCAGCCGCAAGGTAACGCAGATCTAGAAGTGTAGAATCAGTACGAATAGAGCGAGCATTAATAGCGATATCATCACTAATGTTTCCCGACTTATTCGTACCTTGAGTCTGGAAACAGGGAAACGCCAGACACAAGCACGACGCACGATGAGGAACATGAACGTATTCACTAAACGATGGCACTGATTGAGGATGCACTGAGCTTTTATTGGGTATTAGCTGTATACAACCGATGTGTAGCCCATATAACGCCTTGAACGCCTAATGTAGTTTACAGCAGTCCATCTCTAGAGGCCTGTGGTAATTGTTTGTGTTTGCTGCCCCCTCTCCATCAATCAAGCTCTATCGGTTAAGCAACCTCCCCAACACTTTGCTCTCGACTAAGGTAGCTTGATGCATAAGGCTTCCATCCCTGCTCAGGTGCATTTCTTCTCATCGCCCTGAATCTCCAATGTCGTCTTCGCCATTTTCGGTACATGTTGTACGCAGGCCTCATACGATGAGTAGTAGTGGTGTTGGTAGAGGAGATCCTTGCTGCCCTAATCCATGAAGTGGTGTACCGTCGATGAGGAACAAATCCCCCTCACCCAATCGTACACCGAATCTTCTTTACCCCGATAATTCCTCAGTAGCTCCGCAAGCATCCTACTTCCGCTGCTTCGGTTGCTTGTGGCAGGTGAGTTTACCACCCTCATTCACCCAAAACTCATCCTTGGGCTTCCTGGAATCATTAAGATCCATTCCCAACCAGATCTTAGCCTGGACCACCTCATCGTTGTCCTTCTTACAGTCGCAGGTCAAGTAGGTGCCGGCAGGCAACCCATCTTTTGGCACGAGAGAGCTGCCGACAGTACACATGCCGCAGTGGTCGCGAATCTTCTTCTCATTGAGATTATTCCACCCGAGAACGCCCTTGACGGGATCAAAGATGACGCACTCGTCAACGTTGACGTACGTCGGCTCGCCAAAGTTGCCATCCTTGTCGGTACAGCACGCCTCGAAGAAGAAGTCGCCGTTGTAGGGGCCAAACTTGCCCTTGTAGGTGCGAGCCTGAATGCAGCGGCCGCCGAGAAAGTCTGCGCGCTGGTTTTGGCGGTTGGGAAAGGTGGCGAGGCGCTTGAGGCAGAGTTCTGGGTTGCCGGAGGGGGGGATAGAGATTTTGGCTGGGCCGCCCTTGGCTGAGACCGTGCTGGTCATGGCAGCAATGGTGAGAACCAGAAGAGATGAGAACTGCATCGTGATGGTGTTTGGGTTGTTTGAGTTGTTTGGTGAGTGTTGGTAGAGGGAGGTGGTGTTCTTGATGACTGTGACGTGAGGTTGAAGTAGAGTTGTCTAAGAATCTGAGAACGAGTAGATGAGTGGATGGTGTGTTCTGAAATTCTGAGAAGTAGTAGAGAGGATGGATTGGTCAGAGAATCTGATGACAGGAACGGAAGAAAGGCTGGGTTTATATATCTATTCCCACGGCATGCCATCAACAAGGTCATCGGAGATAGTATGAAGGTTTTCTCAGCCTCGGAGCATTACGGTTCGAAGACAATGTCAGACCCTTGAAAGTCTGCAAAGCCGTTGGACCCTGAAACCATAATACGCCATTCGAACATCAAGGTATACCGGACGACGGAAAAAAATCCACGCGAATAGGCGCTCTGGGGACGAACAAAAAGCTTTTATATGAAGAGCTGATTAGGTTGGAGAAAGACGACATGTGGGGAACCTTTTGTAGACGCCATCCGCACTTGATCGGATAGACTGGGCATCACACAAAACAACAAAGGCCCCAAAGGTCATGCGCTGCATACTCAGAGATAGGCCAAGCTGCCAGAGCACCCGGTCCTCATCCAGTGAAGCGGATAGGCTCAAGTTGACTCCATCAACAGTGGGTCCCCCATCTCACGATGTCCACGTTGCGGGCTGACCGCAGTGGGGTTTAGGGCTTCACTTCCACATTCCAAACAACAACAACAGCTGGTCGGTTAGCTCAGTTGGTTAGAGCGTGGTACTAATATTTCATCAGAAATGTTGAGTAATGCCAAGGTCGGGAGTTCAAGCCTCCCACTGATCAATCTTTTGCTTTTGATCATCAGGGTTGCTGCCAAACGCCTCACACGTATCGTGGAGTCTTAGGAGACAAAGTTTTGCATACAGGCGGGCGATTGTGGGCTCACAAGGCATCAAATGTCAGACTCATATTCCTGCCAGAAAATGAGTCACATGGAGTTAGTTGGGCATTACCATTTGTTCATTAAAGCCTGCTTGATTTAAGCCAGGACTTCTTCAAAGTAAGTCCATGGCCGGGCGGCGGTGATACAACTGTTACTGCTGAATTAGGCATATGGAAACCAATGACTAGCCCGGCCAGTCGCTGGTCGGTGAATGTGGCCGAGTCTGCGGCAGCCCTTCCTCCAGGAGACAGTAATGCAAGTATTCATTGCTGTACGGAAAAATTATGCCACATCCAAACCAACTCACTTAACTCAAGGCTATGCTTATTACATCTCGCTACTTATCATGCCTCCTTTGTCCATGAAACCTTCTAGTTGCCTGGTCGCATACTCATCGGAGACACAACTTCATATTGGTCTTCTTTCCCCGTCGCGTCAAGCTCATAAGTCGGTTTAGCGCCATCAAGCTCGACGGTTCGCTCAACTGTCTCCAGCTCACTAGGGCGCCTAGTACCCTTGTAGAAGTGTGTGGTCTCGGGCTTGCCACGTCCCTCTTCCGTGTCCCCGGTCAGCGTAACTCCCTCTATCGTCTTTTGCTTCCTCTTTCTGATGAAGAGAATTCCTGCGACGATCAGTGCGGCACCGGCCACGCATCCGACTGCTGCTCCGACTTTGACTCCGACTGGGATTCCAGTCTGCGCTTCACTACCCGGAGATGTTGTTTCGGTTGACTCGGACCGAGTGCCTGTAGTGGTTGCTTTGCCTGTTCCGCTCCCGGCAGACATTACGCCGGATGTAGTTGAGGTCAGAGGTGTAGATGTAGCTGTTGAAAGACCAGCTGGCGTCGCAGTCAAAGAGCATGATGTCGTTGTAGTGAGGATATGTGCCCAGTAGTAGCTAAGCTGAAGAGTGGATATGGTTGTTGCCGTGCAGAAGTAGTTGGCGGTGCCGTTGTCTCGATATACGCCTTTGTAATCTGGCTTGCAACACCAGGCGCCAGTATCCGGCTTATCGTTGACAGTATCGTTCGCTACCCACATACTCCAAGTCGGATCAGGGCACTGGGTTGTTAGTACGATACTCGTTCCGGTGTATCGCACTGGGGAATGGCGCGAGGTACCTTGGGGTGATTATACGCCGAGGACGAGCAGTCTGTGGAGTCTAATGCGATATAGAGCGTTAGAAGATGGCGTGAAGTGAAATTTAACAAGTTGTATTCACGAACCTGGACAACAGTAGTTCCCATCGTAGCTGCCGTTGCCCGCACACGACAGCCCTGAGGGACAACATCGAACCTGAAGTCCTCCGGCTTTTCCACATTCAAAAGGGGCATCCTGGGGACAGGAAGAACTGGGAAACCGGAGAGACCAGCCGCCAGCATAGTTGCATTCTTGCGCATAGGCCACATGCATGGCAAAGAGAAAGACACTGAGCATAATTCGGAAAATGAGCCGACAAAGGCTTGCACCGGGACACGCGACAACCATGCTGTTGAACAGAAAGCAACTTTAAACGCTAGCAGTATGTATAATATGTGAAACCAGGAAGACAGATGGACTAATTCCGAAAGACGGAAATCGCGGGGACCGCTCTGATATTCAACAGGCCGCTGGGGGAAACCAAGGGATACACAGGTATGTAGCTCTGTCGCCTGTGACGGGAGGACGAGGAACTACCCCTCTTCTCTTCTATGTCAGCCCTGCGAAACAACGACATGCGACACAAACCTCGAATCAAATGGGTAGAATCTGAGATAAGTCTACGTTAGCCATGCCATGACCGCTGCAAGTTTCTTATTATGTCCTACCGAGGGCTGGAAAGGGATACCGCTATGTTGTGCATATTGATATCGCTTTGTGAGTGGACAGAATATCAGCCACTCCAGCAATCCAGCCACTCGAAATGCAAGAGGGACAGCGATAATCAAGCTTCAGGTCAGAAATTAGCGCAGGCAACGGCCGCTAGAGAACGGCTGGGTGTGGCTTCCCAGGCAGCCGCCACCACATATCAATGATGTTTGCCACGAATGAAGGAACATCACTGACATAGATTTGGGATTTGACGACTCGCAGGGCTTGACTCCGGTTTGGCAACTCTTCATCATTCTACATCCCTCCGTAACGCCACCTTCTACTTTGGGAACTCATAAACCCTAATTATGCCATCAAACGTGTCAGCTTATCGACAATGTGCAAAACGAGGGAAGTTCGATTTCTCAGACGCCCATTTAACCTACTCAACGAGGCAGCATCAAATTTAAACAACGAGACTCGAAAGCTTGAGTTCGTTTGTCCTAGCTGCTTTGAATGAGAGCCGGATGAAATGGATGTCAAGTCTAATATGCCAGGTGTTCAAGATTTTGGTGCTAATGCCGACCCCTTCATATTCTGAAGCCTTCCTTTGACAGAAGTAGGCTGCAATCCATCAATGTCGTGAGACTGGAAGAATTTTGAACTTTTCGATTCATTTTCCACACATGTACTCTTTTTGCTCATCTGAAAATTTACCATAGACTTACTTGCGTTCCGATTCCTAGACCGGACTACCTACTCAAGAATGGCTGAATAGAATCTCTGAATTCCGCTACGACGTGAGTTCCTTAGTCTTACCTAAACTCATGTCCCCCCCCCTTTCTTAAATCGAGGCTCAAACACCTAGCTTGCAGTAGTAACATGTAATCAAACTCGATCCTCCGGAAGTTTGATCGCGGACTTCTTGCTATTGACTCTTGGGCGGCGCGTCGTTGAATCATTGTCATCCATCTTAACGGAGAGACAGAGCTTGAAGCGGGCTATACTTCAATCCAGAGGCTTATGAATTTGGCACTAACTCTAGGCAATGATGATGTTCTGAAGAATCAATTGGTTGCTAACTTCACTGGCCACAAAATCTGACATCTCTTATTGATGATGGCATTTGAGCACGAAGGCTGAAGGAAATAGCACGATAGAAGGACCCGCGAAACGACCGATATTGGGAATACGACTAGAAGAGTTTGGGTCTGTCATTCTCTGGCATGGGTCCTGAAGTCACAAAAGGAAATAAAGAAAGAGGAAGAAAAAGGGGCCCAATGAATTGACGCCAGCTGTATAATTTCGTAATAGAGAATGATCAAGATGTGAAGATAAGGCATTACAGAGCAAGGTATTTTGGCTACTGCCTCAAGCCATGCACGGATTTGCCGATATGATTCTGAGCTAGATATTTTCAGTGTTGTTCAGATTTGTTCATTTTGGATAGGGGCTGTGGGTTGGATATGAGGCGAGTTTATTGATGCCCTGATGTCTTGGGACCCAAAACTTGGAAGTTAACCGTATTCGCTCAGCTGGGTATAATTCAGGATACTAGAATGGTGTCCCTATTTCTTATGAAGCAAATGAGCCGACAGGCGGACTGGCCGGCAAGCACAAATGGGTAAACCGGCGAGCTACTAGTAGACACCCAACTTCGCTTTTCGTAGCATGTGATCAAGCAACTCGGAAACTAAATTTTCTCTCACAAGAATCGTGTCGTTAAAATTGACAGGACCGGGTCGTTGGTTGATCCAGAACATAACTAGAACGTGGGGTGTTTGTTGCCGGACGAATCCAGAACATCAACTTGCCGTGCCCCAGCCACTGCCAAAGCTATCAGCCACGAGGAAGATAGTGGCGCTGAAAGTGCCATCTCCGCAGCCGAAACCTTGGTGTGGCCGGCGGCGCGGCCGCCCTTCAGTATTTTGTTAGGGTGACCATGCTGAAATCTTCCCGACGGATCGCAACGCAGCGCGCCACCCGGCCCCGAGATGAATAGATCTCTCTTCTAACATCGCATGCGAGATGGTGTCTTTCCCCATCCAGTGAGATTTCATCAGAGAACATCAGAAAGTACTGTCGGAGTAACGAGTTTACGCGAATCCAGGGCGACATGCCAGCTCTGCGATCGCAGCTGCGGCTGAATTAAGTGAGAAATTCAGCATTCTGCGCCGGCGGCCACCATCTTATCATGGTTCGCTAGCGACATACGGGAATCAGCGCCTAAATATTTCACATTTAGCAACCAAGGCCGGCACCTAGGGAGTGAGAAGCTCCCTATTCGGACTCGTCCAAGCTTTAGATAGGGAGATGTCTCGAGTGTCTAGTGTACACTCTACCGTCGCTTTTGCCGTCTGGGAGGAATTGGGGGGGGCTTGAGAACGTCTGGAGATAAGTGGAAACGAGTTGGTGTATTGATCGAACGGGGTGAAGATCCCCCAGCCGTGTGAAGCGAGTGGGACCAAGGGTTCGCTTCTCCTAGTTCTTATCTCGCTTTTGATGTGGTGCGGATATTCCAGCCATCGTCTTATCAGGGACGATCCGACCAAGCAGTACCGGTGGCTGCAGGGCAAAACTTTGGGTTGGAAATGGTTCCGAGCCCCAGGTACCGAAGATATGGAATGCTAATTAGCACGCGAGCTGTTCAAAGCCCAGACAAGCGGACAATGATGGCATTTACAAGGCGACATGATGTATTATTATATGGAAATTCTTGGTTTACGAGCATGTAATTGACCTTGACATCAATTCGGGTCGAATGAAAGGCCTATTCTCTCTAGGTTCCTGCAGCGTGCTGACCTTGTGGCCATGAGACCTTGTTGTGAGGCTGCCACGTCAATTTGCGGCTGACGAAGACAGGGAAGAAAGATTCTCAGCAGAAAACGAGCCAAGTGATACGAAGAAATTTCTCTAGTTCATCATGTTGGTTGTCGGGTATCTTGAGGCTGCGTGAGGCGATTGATATCATACCGCGAGTCGCACATTTTGGTGGTTGACTCGATGAGATCGAGTAATGGATAACATGCGGGGTTTGGGCGCCATCTATGATAAGCTACCCCTGTCAGAAGAGCTAACTTATCATACATAGCCGCACCGTCTCATGCCGGACAGGCATCATGGTGCGTCGCTGATGAGCGGGAGCCGTTCCTCGTCGCCGTACTAACGCGGTGCCACTTCCAACGCCCCTGATAAGAACATTTTCTCTTCTGGGACGAACCAATGACAGCCGCGGAATGCGTCCAAAGGACCAGAGTTTTTATGGTTTCCGGTGCCAGGGCTTCGTCCTCTTACTCGATCAGATTTGACGTCGTTGTCGACTTGGGAGCATTTCAATTTGCTGTAATCACGGCGAGACCGGCAGTACCCTTGTCTGAAAGCGGTTCGTAGCGTGGTCTTTTCTTGCGTTCTTGGGCTTGTCACCCCCCCCGTCTGCATTCCGGTTCCCCAATCGTCTCCTCCTCCTTTGCCCAGCGCCAGCGGGATGGAAAAGATGGAGGCGACGACCTTGAAGAGCTTGTCACGCTTGTCCCATGTGGGGGTTTGTCGCAGCGATTTCCGGGTCCATCAGTCGATAATCGCTGACACCAAGGTACCGCCGACTCGTTTTCGTGGAACTGGCGAGGTCTTTTATCAGCCTCTCCATATCCATAGCGACACCGGCCCAGCATGTGAATAAATATCAGTCGACATCTCCTCCATCATCTCGGCCTCGCTTCTTTGTCTGAGAGAGATCAGCTGGAGTTTTCCCACCCTCAACCAAACGAACAGACTTGTCTGCCTTGGTATCGCCACTACTTTGGGGTATCATCCTGCAGATCACGACCCGTGTCACCCTGCAGCCCAGTCTTTCGGTTCCCCGTCTTGTCCTCACGTGCATATCGTCATCGCAACCTGTGCCGGTCCGTGTACTGGTGTATCGACAACTCGCCAAATCGAAATCATCCGAAAGTCAGCACGATAGTCTCGGACTTTACCCCTCGACACGTCTTGCCAAAGGCCATTTCCGTCAGAGATAGTCGCCAAAATGGACATGGATACTGCAACTACTACCGCTCGTCCGGAAAAGGCCCATGGCTCGAGACTGGGTTACTTGGCGGACAAGATCGCTGTCAAATCAGAGCCTGGGTTAACCAGCGCTCAGCTGATGGTAAGATCCGCCAGTCGAGAGATTCTTGAGCGATCCGAAACCGTTCTAACATTCTCAATTTACAGCTGACGAACCATGATCTCAAACCGTGAGTGACTGCCACTGCAAAAAGCGCACGCAACACCTCCAAGAGCATGGTGACTGACCTCAAGACAGAGTTGAGCCCGAGAGACGGCAATGGGGGCCTTGGAACTTCGTCGCCTTCTGGGTCGCTGACTCCTTCAACGTCAACACATGGATGATTTCATCCTCCATGATTGTGGGTGGTCTTTCTTGGTGGCAGTCTTGGCTCTGTGTCTGGATCGGCTACGCCATTGCTGGATGCTTCATCTGCATGACTGGTCGCATTGGTGCAGTGTACCACATTGGTTTCCCCGTCGTGAACAGATCGTCTTTCGGAATCTGGGGAAGTTTGTGGCCTGTCTTCAACCGTGCCGCCATGGGTAAGCCCGATGCTTTCTTCCCGGCGTTGAACTTCACTGATCAATCCCAGCTTGTGTTTGGTACGGTGTTCAGGCCTATATTGGCGGCCACTGCGTTTACCTGATGATCCGTTCCATCTGGAAGTCTTGGGTTAGTAGCAAAGCCTCTAGAATGCCTAAGAAGCTTTCAATCTAATGCAAAACAGGACCGAGAGACGATTCCGAACACTTTCTCTGCATCTTCCGGCACTACCACAGCTGACTGGGTCTCTTTCTTCCTCTTCTGGGTGCTTTCGCTTCCAGCCATCTGGTTTCCCGTCCACAAGATCCGACACCTGTTCACGGTCAAGTCATACATCGTCCCATGCGCCGGAATCGCCTTCATGATCTGGGCCATTGTCCGCGCCGGCGGCATCGGACCCATCGTTCGTCAGCCCGCAAAGCTTCACGGCAGCGACCTGGCCTGGGAATTCGTCAAGGGTGTCATGTCGTCCATCGCCAACTTCGCGACCCTCATCGTCAACGATCCTGATTTCTCCCGTTTCTCCAAGAAGCCGAACGATGCTCTCTGGTCTCAGCTCTTCACGATTCCCATTGGCTTTGCGTTCACCTCATTCATCGGCATTATGGTGTCTTCTTCCTCGGCAGTCATCTACGGTGAGGAGATTTGGGACCCCCTCAAGCTCCTCGAGAGATTCATCGACGACGGCGGTTCCGCTCAGCGATTCGGCGTGTTCGTCATCGCTTTTGCGTTTGCTCTGGCCCAACTCGGTACCAACATTGCCGCCAACTCCGTTTCCGCAGGTACCGATATGACGGCTCTGCTGCCACGGTACTTGAGCATCCGTCGCGGTGGATACATCTGCGCCGCTATCGGTCTGGCCATGTGCCCGTACACCCTGCTCACGGATTCCAACAAATTCACTACCTACCTTTCGGCATACAGCGTCTTCCTGAGCTCCATCGCAGGTGTTATGTGCTCTGACTACTACGTCGTCAGAAAGGGGTACCTCGAGATCAGAGAGCTGTACGATGCGCGCAAGACCGGCCCGTATTTCTTCACCTACGGCTTCCACTGGCGTGGGTATGCCGCCTACATTGCCGGAATCTTGCCCAACGTGGTCGGATTCGTCGGTGCGATTGGCGTTGATGTCCCTATCGGCGCGACATACATTTACAATCTCAACTTTTTCGCTGGATTCATCGTCTCTGGTGGCGTGTACTGGGGTCTGTGCAAAATCTCTCCTATCCCCGCTACCAGCGACAAGTGGATGGAAGTTGGAGAGGAGATTGATGACATTCGCGTCGCGTATGATGCTAGCAGTAGCCAAGACTACGACGAGGAGAGAGTTCTTGGTCCTTCCAAGGGCATTGATGATGGGGCCAAGCATGTTTGAAAAGGAGTAAAAGGTTTATGAAGGGGCCAGTGGTTTTGATTTGGATGATACCATTGTTGTGCAAAAAAGGGTGCAAAGTTGCGATTTTTCTTGAGCGTATGATTGAAGCAATGAATGATAAATGTTTCTACTGAACTAACTACCTTACAAATACTTCGTGATATGATGATCGAGACGAGCAAACCTTTCGCCCTTAGACCCCACAGGCTGTCAATTCTTCCAGCAAATGTACCGAAGCAGCTGTCCTTCGGCAACCCGCCATCTTATTCCTCAGCTCCTGTTCTTCACTTTGACTCCTGTTGTAATTCTAGGCAACAAGAGCGGGAGTTCAGTCTCTTCTGGTATCTCAAGAGGCGCATAAAAGTCATCGCATTCCCGGAACGGGGCGACGCCGTGATTACAGCAACGGCTATCGCGAACAAGAGACCAACGACTGATGGGACAGCCCATGCTAGCTCAGCAGTCCCTCGAACAACGAGTAAAACTCCACAACTGAGAATGGCCTGCGGCCACAGAACACGGAAGTTGTCGCGCCAGCTGAGACCGAGCCGATCGCGGTTCTGCCCATCCCATGTCATGGACTTGCCTCTGAGTAGACCACACAAGAATACCGCAACAGCCAGAGCTGTGGTCGGGGCGGTGAAGGTCATCAGGAACAACTCCATAAGAGTTGAGAAGATGCAGCGGAAACTACCATCCTAGTGCCTGGAAGACGCTGTCATCACCTCAAAGATACCGGCAAGTTTGGGAAATATGCCGAAAGCAGCGAGAGCAAGGTTCGGAGTTAGACGCAGCAAGCATAGCCAATGTACTTAGTCAAGGTCTAGTTCACCTGAAAGCGGCTTATGGGATGAATGCCAGGCTCGCTCATGACCCTTCACGAAGGAGTGATAAGTGCATAGAAAAACTAAGGTCGGAGTGGAGTATTTAGGCCGCACTATTAAGCTTCTTCGCTGTAGCTCACCTGAAGCATGAAAGGAAGATGACAATCTCTTGAGTACTGCTAGCTGTCTCTACCCGTTATTCATACAATTGTCATCTCGCACTCAGTCAAGCCCGTTAACTACTGATTGGCTTTACAGCCCTAGGAGCACCATTCGGCATCACAAAGAGCCCGACTTTACCACTTGGATGGGTATTAAGGTTCACAAATTACAATTGACTTCCGGCTCCCTAGTTGCTACTGGCCCTGCTCCCCCACCCCTTCGGTAGGATACCGGCACAACGCTTGAGTACGTGCACCATTGACTTATAACATTGTTTCAGTTCTTGCTATGAAGAGGAGACAAACAAGTGAGCTTGTGGTCGTGGGGGTTTTCTTGCTGCACCGGATCAGAAACAACTCGGGAATCTGCTGCTCCAAAGATCTCTTTATTCCTTGCTCGACTGCTAATCACTCGTTGTATTCTTAAGATGCATCTTCTCAAGGCTCTTCACACAGCCAGCTTAGCCGCCGTAGCTACCGCTACATATGCGGGCAACCTTAATTACGGCTCTCCCTCACTCCACCACCCGTTCCTCGGTATCTCTATTCGTAAAGTGGCAAGCCGATCTGAGGGTAGCTCGCCATGGACACCGGAGCAGCTGAATTTCACACACGGCGTAGCATCCGGCGACCCTTATGACAACAGCGTTATCCTCTGGACTCGTGTTGCACCAACTATGGATAATGATCGCAGCAACGTGACCGTTGAGGGCACAGCTCCAATGTACGCTCACGACAACGACGTCTTCGTCAAGGCAAGCAAGTCGCCAATCTGCGTTGACTGGAAGATCGGGAGGTCCGCATCAATGGATGGGCAACCGATTAAGTCAGGGACGGCTTATACGAGTTCGGATGTTGACTTCACCGTCAAGGTTGGTCGACGTGTATTACGCAGACGCCAGAGGCGTAACTCACTTACTCTACCACAGGTCGAAGCAAAGGCTCTCAAGCCATTCACAGTTTACTGTTGGTCTAACAACCTAAGCCGAAAGAAGTCACCTGACACAAGCAGATTACCAGTTTAATGTCTGTAATTCCGATGTCAAGTCCCCCACTGGCAGAACTCGAACCTTGCCGGAGTCGGGTGCCAAAGTGAAACGGGCAATCAAGCTAGCTGTCTATAGCTGTGCCAACTATCGTGAGCTACCTTGTTCGATAAGCTTCATGTTACAATGATGTAGTTAGGTTATTCAGGCTAACGTGATTGTCTTAGCATTCGGATTCTTCAATGCCTACGGGAATCCCGAGCGAAAAGACTCGGTGGACTATATCGTCCACCTCGGCGATTATATCTATGAATATGGGAACGGCGAGTATCCAGTGGGCGGCTTAGGATGGGGAGACTCTATCGGTCGCATCCCCGAGCCCAACCGCTCATGTCACACGTGCGTAAAGTGTCAACGGCCGACCTACCTATTGAACGATCCATGACTGATGTGAGTCTTCCATAGGCTCTACGATTACCGAAGGCGCCTTTCCCAGTACCGCAGCGACCCTGACCTTCGCGCCAGCCACCAAAGGTTCCCCTGGATAACCGTCTGGGATGACCACGAAGTAATGGACAACCCTTACCGAGACGGCTCCGCAGCAATGAACAACACCGAACAGTCATTTGTTAAAGACGACGGCATATCTGTGGAAGCGCGTAAGATGAATGCTGTGCGCGCATACTTCGAATGGAGTGAGTCCCAATTGCCCAGCACTGCAAAATCTCCCAGCAGTTCACGCTGACATTGCCTGCTCCTTGAAGTGCCCCTCCGTCAGGTTGATATGGACGACAACCTGCGCATCTGGCGTAGCTTCCAGTTCGGCGACCTCTTTAACCTCATCATGCTCGACACCCGAAACTACGATCGCTCCATCACCGACCTATACTGGAACACAGGCTACATTCATACCATTAGTGATGATACCAGCCGCTCGCTGATGGGTTCTCGCCAAGAGAACTGGTTCTATCGTCAGCTCAAAGAGTCAGCCTCGACAACACGATGGCGTGTCGTTGGTAACCAGGTGGTCTTCAGCAAGATGAACCAGAGCATTTCCAATGGACCCAAGAACCCGTTCAACTACGACCAGTGGGACGGTTACGCTGCTAACCGAAACCGGACGCTCAAGACGCTCTATGATAACAGGATCGACAACACAGTGTTCTTGGCCGGCGATAGTCATGCATCATGGGTCAGTGATCTTGTCTGGCTTGGTGAAAAGGACTACAATTCGGAGACTGGGGCCGGCTCCATCGGGGTTGAGTTCGCCGGCACAGCCGTCACCTCGCCCTCATCGGCGGGTCAGAACATCACCCAAGAGAAAGCTCTCAAAAGAAGCGCTTGGATGACAGCTGCGAACCCAGAGCTGCAGTGGCAGGAGTATTACTACCGCGGCTACTTTGAGATGACCATCGACTACGACGCAGTCAACGCTACCTTCTTTGGGTTGCCCACTTACGCCACGAGGAATGGACTCGAGATCGCGCTGGCAAATTTCACGGTCCTTGCTGGGCAGAACAAGCTACGGCGCCCTGTTGGTGGAGGCAGCGTGGAGTTCGGGAACCTGAAGGGCGGCGTCACGAAGCAGACTAACTTGACCAATGACACCAACACTGGAGAATGGTCCGTAATTCAGAGTTCGAACTTAGGCTAGGAAAACCAGTTTCAATAGACATCTATTAGCTCCCGCAAGAGCGGAGTGGTGCTCAGCGCAGGTCCATGTGGCCATTCCGAAAAGCTGCAGATGTAGGGATATGTGGGTTAAAGGACCCGATATTAATGCTACAGACGACATTGACAGTACTTTTGGAGCAGGCGTTCATGGCCCGGCCAATAGTACTAAGCCTGCGAGCCTTGGTTAGGTGAAGGCAAAGTGGCATTGAGACATCGAATCTATTCTCAAGTCCCCACCTACACCTACGGGACAGATCATGATGTTTAATGGTCTCTAGTGTTGAGAGAATCTCTCGTGATACAAATGGTACATGTAGAACTCCTCAGTGTCGCGTTTACTTATATATCTGAACCAATAGTGTATGTGTTAAGGAAAGCTTCAGGGTCCAGCTCTGGTCTTGGCTAAGTTGACTGGTATTGATGCGGCGAAGGATTTGCATTGATTTATTGCATTCTGTGGTAGGGATGGTTCCCATGATCATCGTCTTAATCCATGATTTTTCTATATTCTTCTTCATGATAGAACGTATAAGTACCACATGCCAATGACGATTGACACGATCTTACATGCTGAGCGGTTGCGCGCAACCAAGTTAATGGAGTTTCATGGCCCAGCAGCCGCCTGTAGTGGTCTCTGATCCAGCTTTATGGATTGAAGGAAGTTCCCCAAAGTCTTCTCGATGCTGTCGCGCTCAAAATCGAACTTGTAACGGTCCACATTCTCAGGTGCATAACTGACCGCGTGCACACCGTCTTGCAGCGCCAGCCATGCAGACAACAGCGCGCCTTCCATGTTCCAAACGTTTTCTTCCTCAGCGGTTTTGAACAGTAAATTATCGTGACCCTGGTCAAGCCCCTGGGCTATGAAAGCTTCAGTATATTGCTTCCACCAATCCGTATAAGCGTTGAACCACGCTTCGGGATATCTTTCTTTCAAGTCGTCGTCATCGATATTATCGCCGCCTTCAGGGTTCGCGGGCCACCCGTAGGTGTACCACATGAAATTGGTTCCGTAGTCTGGCCAAATGGAGTATTTGTATCCTGGCAGGGAAGTACCATATTCCTCCTGAGGTTCTGGCCGTTCGTTCAACTGAGATTTTAGTTGATCTTCCGACTCTAGGGGTCCCTCTTTGCGTGTTTGGAGTGAAGGCGTGTCTGCTGGCGGCTCATGGACGGGATCTTCACCCTCTATCTTAGACGGGGGCTCGGAGATGGCCTGAGTGACTGGAAGTTGGGACTCGGCCTGTGCCGTAGGGGAGGCAGACAGCGGGTCTTTGTCCTCCGCCAAGCGAACTTGAAGAGAGTCGCCCGATAGTTCAAGGACAAGGCCATAGGGGGTAGTGATGGAGAAGTGAACCTCAAAATTGGAGTGTTCGGCAAGTGCTAATAACGCCTTGATGGATGCGATGGAAGGAGCCATTGAAAGATGAAAAGTGAAAGGTGAAGAGTACGGATTTGGTGAAGTTCTTAGAAAATGAAGGGTTGCGGATCGTCTGAGCAACAAACTGCAGAAGAATACTGGCCATATTAGTATCTAGGAAATCGGGGCTGAGGTTGTGGCTGTGTCAGCGCCAACAGTCAGAGGTAGTATTATTTCAGTTTTTCCATTTACAGGGGGTAAAAGACTCCAGGCCAGAACAACAGACCCAACCAACAACCTCTAAAAGCCCCAAACCTGCTGCGGAGGCCGCCTCACCTTTTGGGAAATTTCTAAGCGCTTAAAGATAGATTTCAGGGCATTCAAACCATCGGCTGATTCTCCAAGCGCCGACATGTGATCTGATGCGTCAAGACCATACAAGCGACCACCAAGCGCCTACAGGGACGCAAACCCTTGATCAGACACCCGCAGCAACTCTGCTACCAACATGCTCCAGTCAGTGACCGTGATCCTGGCCGTGTATCGTGGCCACCGGCAGAGTCCTGGCGTCAATTGCAAACCAACACGAACAGGCCGGCGTCAATTTCTAAATCTGTAGGCGAAAAAGCCATTTCGGCTAGATAACATGCGGATGTTAACGAAATGGAAAATGTACTTAAACCTTGGTCTCTACGCGGCCAAATTCTTGTTCATAACGACTAGTCAGACAACGACCACGATCATTTCAGTCACATTCTATTCTTTCACTGTACCTTACACCATTTGCCAATTGAGTTGGTGCCAAGTTTTCAGTCCACCGGCTTACAATGTTCAAGTGAGTTCATCTCTCGTTGAGAAACGCATCTAGAGACTGTATTCAGCTGCTGACATGATTCGACAACAGACAATCCGAATCCGTCAGGCGTATAGTACGTGATGTCCAGAAGGATGGCAATCGCAAGATTAGTCCAGACCAAGTCGTTCACGCCTGGAACGTGCCCATGACAAGCGAGATTCCTGCGCCCAAAGGAGCAGACAGACCCTTGCCCAACTTGTGGATTGAAGAGGGGACTCCCAAAGCCGGCCTGCAACATATGGTTGGAAGCGACGACAAGATTGGTTCGTGGGAAGGCAAGGGCGTCCCTAGGGAGCTTCAACGAGAGAAGATACCAATGTTTGTTGAGGCGGCAACTACGGCAGGTAGACGCATCACCACTCAGGGCTCAAGGGATGATCGTCACATCATGTCAACATACATTGAGGGCCGTGTGTTGAAGACTGCAGTTACAGTCGGAAGCAATGGGTTTATAGTAGGGGCCAATCCCGCGAAGAAGTTCAAGGTCAAGCCGGGCGACCCGGGCGAGGTCAGCGATCGTACAGTGGAAAACTTGTACCGATATCCGCTTAACTGCCCGGACAGGAGGCGGACTGACGAGGCGAAAAAGGGGGAGGAAATGGAGCGCAAGGAGCCGGCTATGCCAAAGGCGAAAACATCCCATTTGGGAAGGTTTTTCAGCAGAGACAAGTGAGAGGATTTGTGGAAGTTTGATTTAGGAAATGAGGCTCTTAGAGGCACACTGGATGTGCCAAGGCGTTGTTGACTGGTTGAACATGTGTAGTCGAAATGCACTGAATAATATGTCTTACCCAAGTAGCTTTGAATGAACGGTGATGCGTTTACCATTGGCCATATCTTAGATGGGATTGTCTAACCGCTCTAGGTATGATCAATGGCCATGAATGGAGTATCTTGCTATGGTAAACTTAACGTCTTCCTCTTGACCTCCAACCAAGCTATGGCGGTTGATTTACTCATCTCCAGCCTCTCTGCGAACTTAAATGCATATTTGAGGTTAAATCAACTCTTTTATTATCCTTCAGACAGCATTAATTCGAATTGACCTAAGGAAAAATGACTCAAAGAAACGTGACGTGACCCAGTGTTGGTCAATGTGTAAACTTCCCCAAAAACTCCTCCATAGTGTCGACAAACCCGCAGAAGAATCCAAACTAAAAGACCTCAACTCCAATTTCAGTGCGCCACCTCAGACCCGAGACGCCTGAATCCCAAGCGACTCCATCTTTCCTTGGCCGGAGACAACAAATCTCTCTTTTTCGGCGCCTGCACCTCAGTCTCAGGCTTGCCGAGATCCCACTTGATCGCCTCGGGCCACACAAGGCTCGTCTCCTTCTTCTCATCCGCCGCCGACCAATGCTCAATGGATGGCACGTTGAGCTTACCATATCCTCTCAGTCTTTCGAGGATCTCAGTCGTGTTTCTCACGTCACCGCGGGCGGCCCAGCCACATCGTCGCATGCCGTCAAGATGCATGTCGGCCGCAGCACGAAGACGCTCGTCCTTGTCTGCGCCTTGGCTTGCCGAAAGATGCTCGTCAAGGTCACATACAACATCCAAATGCACACGCCCAGCATCGCGAAGACGCTTGGCGTGGCGCAGGAGGTAGGCCAGACGGTTCGAGAAGTAGAATGCGGAAGAATCCAAGCCACCACGAGACTGGCGAACGTTGTAGTAGATGGTTTCGCAAAGGGTGATGGCTTGGTCTAGGTGGCCTGCAAGCTCATGCGCGTTGACCAAGAGGGATCCGATTGTCAGAACGATATCAGGGGACCACACGCCACAGTTGCGCTGGACCTCCCTGGATCGCCAAAGGGAGGTAAGAAGGCTCTGGAAAGAGGCAGTCAATAAAGAGCACAGAAACAATAGTTGTTGAAGATTGTATGAAACTTACCTCGAGTTCTGCCCAGTTCTTCTGTTCGCCAAGTAGGCGAACAAGGCCGGAAATGTCCTCGAAGCGGAGGCTAGTAAACTCGACCTTGTCATCTCTCAAGACCGTCAAGACATGTTGTAGGACGTTTCGGCTAATAGAAAGCAGTTCATCCTGTTGTTGCTTGCTGGCAGACTTCCACGTGTCTGCGCGGATGCCAGCGAGGACCTCGGCGAAACGAAAGCCCCATACGTAGCAGTTGCGCTGGTGATAGAATCGTTGGGATTGCGCAAAGTCAAAACCACACTGCGCGACCCTCTGAGCTCTGATAAAGTCCTTCTCCTCGACCATGAGTCTTCTGACGGCAGTGTACGCGGCCTTGCAGGACACAAGACCAAAGTCAACAGTGCCCCTATCAGCAATTCCACCACCGATCTCGTTGAGGAGCGCGACGTAGAAGGCAAATCTGGCATTTCTGTCGTCCTGGGAGCTGGAAGACTTGAAGTAACGCGAGGTGAACAAGGCGAAGAGCTTCTTGTCAAGGACGTCCACGAAGCCATTGCGACCGCGGGACTGCCAGACGAAACGAAGGCGAGCTGCAGGCTCAATGATTGTCTCGATCCTTGTGGAATCGGTGCAAGTAGCCATGACAGACATGTACTGCTCGTAGAGAACCGTCTCGAGGAGCACATCTGCCATCAGCTCAGAGAAGCTGTACCGTACCTTGGCATCTCCGTTGAGAGCCTGTTCAAAGGAGATCAAGAATACCAGGTACACCTTGCTTGACTGGCCGGAGATCTTGATGTTAACATCCTTCTCTCCGCCCTCAAATCCAGGGAAGAGGAGCAGGTATCGCAGCTGTCGAAGAAGATCCTGGCCATAGTGAACCATGCCGGCAGACAGATAGATGGAAGCCAACGTCTTGGCTGCCGCATGAAGGTTCATGGAGATCTTGACAGTAGTGATGATCTCAATGATGGATACCTGTAGGAGCTGGGCGATGGAGGAGTGGGCCTCCTTGTTACCAATCTTCTTGTATAGCAAGACGACTTCCTTGAGCTTGGACAGAGTCTTCTCGTGCCACCAGCCGAACTCAATCTTGAGTTGAGCATAGATCTCAAGACTGACTCCGATCGCACGATCGATGGTGGTGGTGGTTGTAACCTTGTTGGTTGTGATGACAGTCACGTAGAGCTTTGATAGACGCTTCTTGATCGTCCTGACCGTGGTCTCTGAGACAATATTGGTGGTCGTAGTCTTCTTGATAACCTCCTCGTAGATGGTAATGGACTCGTGATAGTGCTCCTCAGAGGTCTCGCACAACGCTGCCTGAGCGATCAAAGCCTTGATGACGATGGCAGCAGTGGCGCCAAAGACCTTGGTCGCGGTCTCGCGATACTCGATCGTGAGCTTATAGCGAACCGAGAATTCGACCTTGGCGTGGAACTCAAGAACATAGCGGTATCGCTCGTAAATGAGCTCGACGGTCTCCTGAGTGAATTTAATTTCACGATTGTGGTGAACAAAGGTGGTCCAGAGCGTGACACAAATTTTCTGCAGCTCGGCCCAGCGCTTTTCAGCGTGGTAGTGGTTCAGAACGATGATGGCTGCATCCAGTGCACTTCCGTGGCAGCAGCCGTCTTTAGAGAAAATGGTAACAATTTCGCCATAGCAGTCGTAAGCCTCTCTGCGGCCAAGCTTGTGGTAGACAGCAGCGAGCTTGTAGAGAATGCTGACTTGCAGGCTGTGACCAGAAGACAAATGTCTGCGGTAGTGTTGCAGGAGCTTGACGTAGATGTCAATAACCTTCTCGTGACGGTGGAAGTCCTCATAGAATTGAACCAAGGCTTCGGCCGCCTCGAAGATCAACACATTGTCGGCCTTGAGTGTCGAGAAACAGGCGTTGTAGATGCGGAGATAGATCGCATCCGCCTTCTCGAATTGTCTCTGGCGATGGTAGCACAAAGCAAGACGCTGTGCGATAAGTATGCGCTCCGAGGTGAACTCGCCCTCGATGGTCAACTTGGAGTCGACGGACAAGACGCCCTTCCAGGTGATTTCGAGGGACTGGCGGATCACGACCTCGGCTTCAGCCCAATTCTCAAGCTTGAGATAGAGGTTGACCATAGCTAAGCAAGACCTGAAGAAGTTCTTGTCGGCCTTGCGACCACGGCAGCGCTGGTAGTTGGTCTCCCAGATCTCCCTGGTGACGGTTTCGACAACGGTGGTGGTCGTCTTGGTCTCGACATAGGTCTCGGTGATCTCCTCGACGACCTCCGTGATGATGGTGGTGGTGGATTGAGCCTCTTCGCTCTCGACAGTCTTCCTCTCCTTGAACCAACCCCAAACCTTCTTCAGGATAGACATGGATACGCTGAGGATGCCAAAAGACTTGGCAAGAATACCAAGCTCCTTGAGACGGATCATGATAATTTCGGACTCAAAGGACTGGTTCTCGTACTCGGCCCAGACGCAAATCATGATGTTGCAAGCCTCTTCCGTTCGCTTGACGCGCTTGAGGAAGTTGATGTACTCGATAGCAATGTTGATCTTTTGGATGTGAAGCTCGGTTGTCACCTTGGTAGTACGGCATACCTCAAGGATGCCCCGCCAGAGGCTGATGTACAGCCTCTCAGCTTGGATCAGGTGGCCCTTGGACTCGTATTCAACAGCTAGGCTGATGAGAATCTTGATGCGACGGATATCGGTAAACGACAAATCGTCCGCAGTGTCGAACAAGAGCGAGTGCCATTGGCCGTGGTTGTGGATCTTCTTGTCGCTAGCCTTCAGAACAACGGTCATGCCTGAAATGGCTTCGGCAATTGAACCCTCCTTCTTGGAACCCTTGCCGAAACGGGCAGTAATAATGATGTGGAGTTCGCTGTAGACAGACATCGCAAGCTCTTCTTCCTTGATATCGATGTAGAGCTTAGCGAGCGCCTCATACCACTTGATAACGGCATCACTGCGGGCTCCCTGCTTGCTCTTGGAGATCTCAATCATAAACTTGATCATCTCTTCACGGTGCGTCACCGTTTGAGTGCGCTTGGTGAAGGTGAGAGTCTCGGTGCAAGTGAGGAACAAGTTCGTACATGAAACCACAAGAGGGCTGAACTTGTAGAGGATGGTCTGCCCAAGATGGGAAGCCTTATAAAAGAACTCGGCCGCGAAAGCATGCTCAGACTGACTCCGGTGCAGACTCCCGAGGATGATGAGACTTTGGAGGTATGATCGATTCTTCTCACCAAAACAAGTAGAGCGGATCCGGAGACTCAAGCTGTGCATTTCAATGGTCTCCTTAATTGCGTACTGCGTCTGCCAGTAGTGCCACTCCAGCATGGTGAAGAAGATAGAGTCGGGGAAAACATCCTTGAACTCGGATGTCAAGGTGATGGTGCCATTCTGGCCGCACAGTGATGATGAGCGGAAATGAGCAACCCAGTGACGCATCATATAGCTGACGATGTGGTGCGCTTGGAAGCACTCATGGAAGGTCTCCTCGGTGACCGGCTCCATTGACGGCTCACAAGTATAGTTGCCAAATTTGATCTTGGCAAAGAGAAGAAGAGCCATGGTGAGGTGGCGGTGGGAGTCGTGAAGAGACATGAGAGTCGAGCCGCAAAGGCTTTGGACATACTTCCTTATGGTGGAGTGCTTGAATCGTAAGGTACCGTGGCGAACCACCACAAGACCTTGGGTGTTGCCTACAGGTCCCCTGACGTCAGCGCCAGGGGAAACAGTGCGTGTCGACAATGAGACTCCGAGAAGGTCGGTCATCTCACCGAGTGTGAGCGGGCGCTGGG